AGAAGCCAGAAATGAGATAATAGAGAGGTTTAGCATGACGTTCACGGCAAACGGTAAACGACAGAAAAGATCACGTGACCTGCTTTTTTGGAGTTTAACGTTGCAGTTTCAACTCGAGAGCGGGTTATTTTGGGGTTTCCATAATCGAGAAAAGCCGCTCTTTCAAATGACTACCAAAAGCACAWGGTCGGGCACGATATTCTTAGGTCATTGGTTCAGCTCTGCCGTTAGCCGTTTGCCGTAAACGTGATGCTTAAACTCTCTAATGTCATCTCTTAGCCTCGAGCACCCAATTGTCTATGGGCAACATAATATCTGCGATCTAGTAACATCCAATGCTTTAAAAGATCTTAAAAACTTGGCATGTTGAAAGTTATCTGCGAGGGCCTGGGCCTGGCACCTTATCTGAAGTTGTTAGATGAAATTGTTCAAAGCTGTAGCTGTGCCCGATAAAACGCTAACAATCTAATTTTAATCTGATCTCATCGAAAGTAACGAAGTTATGAAGAATGTTTCCCTATTTTCTTTCGATCTATATCATTAGTAAAGAACATTATTTTAGAATTGGAAATGTTTGTGCCGGCCAGTCAGCATAATGGAAAAAACCCTTTTGCTTGGACTGGTCTGGTGACGGCATGGTGTTGCTAACCTCACATAGCGTAGTTTCATTTACTGAAGTCAAAGTAAAATAAAACCTTCTTTAAATACGTTAAATCGCAGAGATATCTTTGTGCGCTTGTTTAGTTTCCTATATGTACATAGCAATTCAAAAATATATCATAAATGTAGCTTTTTAATTTTACGAACTGTCCAGGGAAACGAAAACGGCAAACAAAAATTTTTTGAAATAAATTTTGTCATAATCAATGTTTTGTATTTTTCGACCACTGAACAATGCAAAGTGAAATCTATTTGTTTATTATATATACAATGATCAAATAAACAAGTCTACATCGTTTCCAGAGAATTTCCAGGAGTATGCAACTTTTATTTACGTGTTATTCAAATATTATGTCTGATATGTCACGCTTGATTGCCGCTAAAMTTGTGTCACGGAGAAGTGTAAGCGCTCTTACAAAAATATCCSTCGCGATGTCATATTTTATTTGTAGAGCTTGAAACTTTAACCGAAGGAAGATTAAACAACAT